GGCGGGGCCGGGGGAGGGGGGGGCGGGGGGCAGGCACAGAGAATGCAAATGTGGAGGGAAGGGAGAGAGCCACGGCATTATGGGCAGGCACAGGAACTCCGCTGTGCCAGCCGGCCCCCCAACCCAGCGACTGGGCGCTGGGGCAACAGGAGGGGCAGCAGGAGGCTCCGCAACCGCCTGCTCTTCTGCAGTGCCAAGCCACCACCTGACTACACAAACCTCCCCCCCCCAGCAGCGAGACCCACGCAGCTGTGGGCCCGCCAAGCCCCCTCCCCCTGCAATGCCTGCGAGGCACCATTTCCAGTGCGTTCCCTGTACATGCGTAGTGAACATTTTTCTACATTTTGGGGGATTTAAATATCCCCCCCTACATTTTTTTACAGTTTTTAGATTTTTGTGCACATCTGGGGATTGCCCCAAATGTGCAGGGAAATCTCCCTGCCCCCCAAGTGCCCCTGATGTGCAGATTTAGATATCCACACGGAGGGGGCATGTTGGGAATTAGATATATAGATGTATATAATTGACACTTTTCAGTCTGGCAGCACAAAGCAAAATACCGGGGGGAAATGTGGAGATGAGAAATATATGGATTGGGGCCAAGAAATCATGGTCAGAATGAGGAATTCTGAAGCACTTGGCAGAAGAAACCACAGTGGTATCCGAACCATTATGATTTCAATAGAAGATTCTTTCCTAAAACAGAACAGTTGCCTTCTCACATAGAAAAATCCTTGATTTGTGGAAGGGAACCACTGGATTTGACCCTCCCTTTACTCATGGTACTTTTCAAATTTATCTGGGACATTTTTACCCCACCCTACCTGTAAGAAATGAGGGAAATTTTTTCATAAATCTACATGGAGACAAAAAGTCTATAAAATAAGGCAGTAGATCTCAATCTAAGAGTGGCAAGTATACACCTGCAACTTTGCTTAGCCTTCTGGCTAACAACAGTATCTGCACTTTTCCAACCAGTTTTTCTGCTAATGAAAAAGGACAGAAGAATCTTCTTTGACCATCAAGTAAAGCTCTTCTGAGGATCATGGGACCCACTTGTACAAAAGCCATGGAGGCTGTAGTAAAGACAGGAATTGAATGAGAGCCAGTGAGATGCTGGCTGGATTGAGACCACATTTTCCCACATATGGCTCTCCTGCTTCTTTTCTAAATCTGTTCACTTGCACAAGAAGTGGGTGGGCAATTTTTGTTGTTATGCTCTATTGCAGAACCCTGCATTGGATCCAATTCCCTGGTATTTTGGATTCAACCTATAATATGGCACAACAGAGTTGTAACACGCACAAGTGGAAACAGTTTTTTATTTAAAGACAAAGATGTGGGTGGCATTACCTTGAAGTCATATTGACAACCTTGCAGTTGTTCAGGTGATGCATATAAGCAAGTACCCACTCCAGAAGTGTGCTTTAGGCCTATACAAAGATAAACACATTTCAAAATTACTGATGTTACATTGTAGCTACCTGTAACACAATGTTTGAAATGCCACACTGCTAATGGCTGACTGAACATCTGTCCTCTGCTTTGCTAATTACCTGCCATTTCCTTCACGTTTTGTGAGGGGCCTGGCTCCTTCTGGAAAATGTCTTTACAGGCCAGCCCGAAATCTCCTATTTTCACATGGTGGTCAGGCCCATGGAGAAAGATATTTCTGGGCTATAAAAACAGAAGAGAATACATTGTTCATTTAATATAACTGGATTTTTATAAAAAATAATAAGAGATTGGATTTATACCCCACCCTTCACTACCCAAAGGTGTCTCAGAGCGGCTTACAAACTCCTTTCCCTTCCCCTCCCCACAACAGACACCCTGTGAAGTAGGTGGGGCTGAGAGAGCTCTTGACAGAAACTGCTTTTTTTTCAAGAACAGCTCTTATCAGAACTATGGCTTGTCCAAGGTCATCCAGCCAGGTATAATTGGAGTGGGGAATCAAACCCGGTTCTCCCAGATTAACTCCACAGTTAAAGTATCGCACTTCCCCACCCCTGGCTGCCGTTTTTAAGAGTTTCAACTAGTTAGAAGCACCAAGCTATGTTATCAGCAGCCTCAGGATGTTGTTTGGTGGTACCACCTTCCAGGAGTAAGTCCAGGTTGTGAACCATGTGCCAGTTGTGTTGTTGTGGTTCCATTTCCCGGCCTAGTGCGGAACACACAGCACACACCCAGATGTATGTACAGTGGTGGCCCCAACATCTCTGATTAGACTATCCACCCCAGCCATCTTGACTTTCTGTCTTTAGGAAGATGTCTCAGATGGTGCTTTCCAAAGAGGGGAGCCTTTTCCTGTTGATTCCCTGGGACTGGGAAGGGAAGGGCTACTCACCAGCTTGGCCTGCAGACTGTCAGTTTCTACATTTGTTCCCCTGTTCTTAGCCTCTGTGTTTTATAGCTGATTTTTTGTCCCGTGGGTGGTCTCTGGTGTAATGTTTCCCCCCAATTTTGAGTTTTGTGGTAACGGGGGAGAGTGACCAAGATATATGTCAGTTATTAGAATTTCAGGCGATTATACTCATCTTAGATTTCCTGTGTTTTTCATGTCTAAGTTGTTTTGAGACCTTGTGTTACAGGAGAAAAACGGCACACGTGTGTGTGTGTATGCTAAATAAACTAGCAGGCAGCTTTTTTATTATGATGAGAAATTCAGTTAAGGCTGTGCATCTAAACCCAACTGCTACTGAAGCTACTGGCTTAGCTACATGGACTCGCTGGACGTTTTCAAGCGGAGGCTGAATGACCATCTTTCGGGCATGTTGTAGGGCTATCTTTTGGCTATGCTCCTGCAGAGTGCAGGAGGTTGGACTAGATGGACCTGCTAGGTCCCTTCCAATTCTATGATTCTATGACTCTGGCACCACTGACCTACATACATTCTGGGGATCTTTTTATTATATAGTTTGTCACCAATCACCTTGCACACCTTGGTGGCCGAAAAGGGAGGGTATATGTGTTTTAATAAAACCAAACATGGAACCTGCACAGAGAAGAAAAGTGTATGCCTCTTCTCTGAGAGCTTGTCCTATACCAAAGGAGTCCACTTGGATCCTCATAGTGAGGGCAAGCTCCCATAAGAACCAGAGCTAGCCCCAACCATCTTAGCCCATGGCAGTGACCTGGACATTCTTTTAATCAGTTCCAGAACTGGCATCACAAAGAATAAGTAGTGCAGGATTCCAGGTTTTCACATTTGCTCCCATAGTAAGAGTTCTGAAGTGGCAGTTGTTCTTCTCAAATGGGTAACCTGATCCGACGTTCTGGTAAAAAGACACATCCCTCTGTACCCCAAGAGAATGCCAAATGTGATGCTATACTTCAAGTCGTAGGGAACCATGACACCTGCGTATTTGAATGGCTACTGGATGACCAACCAAATGGTGTCAAGGTAGACTTCCATCTAAAAGAACAGCTTAGAAAAATATGACTTTGGGGGGGGGGCATGATACAGGTTTATAAAATTATGCAGGGGGCAGAGAGTACCATAGAACTTTTTCTCCCTCACCCAAGATACCAGAACTCAAGGGCGCCTCATGAAGTTGACGGGCAACAGATTCAGGATGGACTAAGAAAGTACTTCTTTCCTGAACAAGTGATTAAAATGTGGCATTCACTGACAAGAGGATGTAGTGATGGCCACAGGCAGCTTTAAAGGAGGATTAGATACATTCATGGTCTATCGGGCTACTAGTCATGGAGACTCAAGGGAACCTTCGTAGTCAGAGGCAACAAACCTCTGAATACCAGTTCTTAGAGGTAACCTTTGAATGCAGACACCTTGGTGAATTGGAGTGTGTTCAGGCACCCCACAAACCAGGATTCTAACCCCTGGCTTAGAACCCCAGCTTGGGGGGGGGGGATTGTTAAACTAAATTCAGTTCAGTTTAGGGCACTTGAGAAAACTGAACTTCAACAAATCAAGTGACGAGAGATACCAAAACTCTCACTCATGTCTTTAAAGTGGGTGGAAAAGTAATATTACCACCAAAAACATCTCAGTACAGGGTCTGAGGAGGGCAAAAGGCCATAAGATCTAAACTGCATACGTCATCCATGCATTATAAGCTTTTTTAAAAAAACACCTAACTTTTTCATATTCTATACAGGGTGGTTCCACTATTTCTCCGCTTCTAGTTAGCGAACTGGAACCAGAAAGGTACATGAACTGCGTGCAACGTCACAGTGTAGCTTCTGAAACAAGGTAATGTTTCACTGTATAAACAGTTTATCTGAAGGACACTCAAAAGTCCCCTGGTGTAGAGGGGAGGCTCCCCTCCATCCTTTTTTTTTTTTAAATCCATCCTTAAGTGCAAGAGAAGAAACATCACAAGTCAGTCCTGATGGAAGAGTCACACTCTGGAAAGCCAGAATCCAAGAATCTGTCTGTGCTTTCTCCTTTTGAAAAGACCAATTAAAAAGGGAGGACTCGCCTGGCTAAGGGGTCCCAGAGGGCTTTTCCACAGCTTCAATCTGTCTCTCACAAGCGGTGTGATACAGACTTCCCCTAAAATAGGCCTGTCATTTCTTTCTCAGTCTTGAGAGAGCAGCAGAGTTGCTGACAAACGTTTAGCTGGCCATTCAACTAACGTACCTTACGGCTGCAAGATATTTTTTGAAGTCTTCGCTCATTTCAGTGAGACACCCTTTGAAGTTAAACAGATTTCCAAGCTGGTCTAAGATGCATTAGGGGTTCCATCAGTTACGAAACCCCAGCAAGGACAGACAATGTTAACTTCTGCACAGGATTCATTCCCCTTCTTCTATATAAGCATTTATTTGATGTTATTGTTAAAAACCATTTTTTAAGGCGATTTCTCACCTAAACCTTGGAGATGCCTCACTTTTAGTTCAAAAGGCCTGACGTGTGGGGGATGATTGAAAACATACAAAATTTTTGCAAAACTAAAACAAAACCAGAGTTCTAATGGAAGTGTGGACTAAAACCAGATGAGCTCTTTTGTGCTCTGCACTATCTAGAGTAGATAAACAATGGATACCAAAGGATCCCAGTACAGACAGGGAAATTGCTAGAGTAACAAGCAAATAGATCTGCTGTAGATCTAGACTGGGGCAAAGCTGCTCACTGACCTGGCTCCAGCTTAGAAACTCGTCTATGTATACGACGCTGGCATCTCTGCACGGCTACTAAGCTGGACCACTGGTCCATCAAGCTCAGTATTTGCCTGCTCTGGGAGCAGCTCTCCAGAACCACAGGCAAAAGGAGTTCTCCTCCAGCATCTGGCTACCCAAGATTATTTTCCACTGGTGATGCCAGCAACTGAACCTGGGATTCTTCTTGCTCCCTGGAGTTGAGCGCTCTGCTATACCAACCACAGCTCTGGAGAAACCCTTGACATCCAATCCCTCAGTCTCCCTAATGTGGTTGAGCAGCTGTAAGTGTGAAACAACCACCCGCACACGTCATCAGCTCCTGAGCTCCCTCAAACAATGGCAGCCATAGTGGTTGACCAACCGGAGATAACAGTCTAGCCGCACAGTGCTACTCACTCTGTGTCTCTGAAGCCACCTGTGGGTCTTCTGAGCACTGTTACCCACAATGTGCCCCCTGCCCCGTCTTAAAGGAAAGTAAGCAAGGGGTCCCTGCTTAGTGGGCCTTGGGGTTGGTAGAAGAAGAAGAAGTTAGATTTATACCTGGCCATTCACTCGGAGTCTCAGAGCAGCTTACAATCTCCTTCCCTTCCTCTCCCCACAACAGACACCCTATGAGGTAGGTGGGGCTGAGAGAGCTCTCAGAGAACTGATCTTAAGAGAACAGCTCTGAAAGAACTTATGACTGACTCAAGGTCACCCAGCCGGCTTCATGTGGAGGAGTGGGGAATCAAACCCGGTTCTCCAGCTTAGGGTTCGCCGCTCTTAACCACTACACCAAACTGGTTACCACCTTGAAATAGCTGCCACCAGAGGAACGGGTAAGCTGTGAACCTCCTTGAAAGTGCAGGCCTCATGCCAGGGATGGAAGTAAACAGGCTCGTCTGGTTACTGGTAAGTGCAAATGCGCCCCGACCTGGATGGCCCAGGGTTAGTCCGCTCAAGTCAGATCTCGGCCCTGGTTCATACTCTGATGGGAGACCACCAAGGAAGTCTAGGGTTGCTATGCAGAGGCAGGCAAGGGCAAACCAGCTCTGTCTGTCTGTTGCCTTGACAACCCCACAGGGTTGGTTGCGACTTGATGCACTTTACACCAACAAGTCCAAATGTGGTTCACTGAGAGCTGCAAAGTGATTAGCCAGTGGGAAAAAATACAGGAATAACTGCGGCATTTTTTTCCTTAATGGCTTAAAGATAACAATGGATATATTCATTCAAGAAAATGAGCCACTGGGGAGGGAAAGGACTAGAGAGAGAACTAGAAGGTCATTCCTGACTTAAAGCTTCAGAAAAGATCATGTTCCTCCAGGTTACCATGGTGGAGGAGTGGAAAAGGAATGGCTTTTATCTATTCATCCAGTGAATTTATTTGAGCTCTCAAATCATGAAATGATTCACTTAAGGAGGACTACCACTAACATACTGTTGTATATTACAGAGGCAAAAAGAAGCACATACGATTTCACCGCCAAACAGGTCACCTCCCAGCTATGCAAGGAAGTGCCTGCTGCCTCAGGAACATACACGACAGACTTGACCACAGTGACAGTGAA